TCTTTAAGTCTGTTATTGGTGCATAGGAATGCTTGTGATTTTTGCACATTGATTTTGTATCCTGAGACTTTGCTGAAGTTGCTTATCAGTTTCAGGAGATTTTGGGCTGAGACGATGGGGTCTTCTAGATATACAATCATGTCATGTGCAAATAGAGACAATTTGGCTTCCTCCTTTCCTATTTGAATACCCTTTATTTCTTTTTCTTGCCTGATTGCTCTAGCCAGAACTTCCAGTACTATATTGAATAGGAGTGGTGAGAGACGGCATCCTTGTCTAGTGCCAGATTCCAAAGGGAATGCTTCCAGTTTTTGCCCATTCAGTATGATATTGGCTGTTGGTTTGTCATAAATAGCTTTTATTATTTTGAGATACGTTCTGTCAATACCGAGTTTATTAAGGGTTTTTAGCATAAAGGGCTGTTGAATTTTGTCAAAGGCCTTCTCTCCATCAATTGAGATAATCATGTGGTTTTTGTTTTTGGTTCTGTTTATGTGGTGAATTACGTTTATAGACTTGCGTATGTTGAACCAGCCTTCCATCCCTGGGATGAATCCTACTTGATCATGGTGGATAAGCTTTTTGATGTGCTGTTGCAGTTGGCTTGCCAGTATTTTATTGAAGATTTTTGTGTCTATGTTCATCATGGATATTGGCCTGAAGTTTTCTTTTCTTGTTGAGTCTCTGCCGGGTTTTGGTATCAGGATGATGTTGGTTTCATAAAATGATTTGGGAAGGATTCCCTCTTTTTGGTTTATTTGGAATAGTTTCAAGAGGAATGGTAACAGTTCCTCTTTGTGTGTCTGGTAGAATTCAGCTGTGAACCCATCTGGACCTGGGCTTTTTTTGTGTGGTAGGCTCTTAATTGCTGCCTCAACTTCAGATCTTGTTATTGGTCTATTCATGGTTTTGACTTCTTCCTGGTTTAGGCTTGGGAGGATGCAAGTGTTTAGGAATTTATCCATTTCTTCCAGGTTTACTAGTTTATGTGCATAGAGTTGTTTGTAATATTCTCTTATGATGGTTTGAATTTCTGTGGGTTCTGTGGTGATTTCTTCTTTATCGTTTTTTATTGCATCTATTTGGTTATTCTCTCTTTTCTTTTTTATTAATCTGGCTAGTGGTCTGTCTATTTTGTTGATCTTTTCGAAAAACCAGCTCCTGGATTTATTGATTTTTTTTTTTTGAAGGGTTTTTCATGTCTCTGTCTCCTTCAGTTCTGCTCTGATCTTAGTTATTCTTGTCTTCTGCTAGGTTTTGAGTTTTTTTGATCTTGCTCCTCTAGCTCTTTCAGTTTTGACAATAGGGTGTCAATTTTGGATCTCTCCACTCTTCTCATGTGGGCTCTTATTGCTGTGTATTTTCCTCTAGAGACTGCTTTAAATGTGTCTCAGAGATTCTGGTATGTTGTGTCTTCGTTCTCATTGGTTTCGAAGAACTTCTTTATTTCTGCCTTCATTTCATTCTTTATCCAGTCAACATTCAAGAGCCAGTTGTTCAGTTTTCATGAAGCTGTGCAGTTCTTAGTTAGTTTCTGAATTCTGAGTTCTAACTTGATTGCACTGTGGTCAGAGAAACTGTTTGTTATGATTTCTGTTCTTTTGCATTTGCTGAGGAATGATTTACTTCCAATTATGTGGCCAATTTTAGAGTAGGTGTGATGTGGTGCTGAGAAGAATGTATATTCTGTGGATTTTGGGTGGAGAGTTTTGTAAATGTCTATCAGGTTTGCTTGTTCCAGGTCTGAGTTCAAGTCCTGGATATCCTCATTAATTTTCTGTCTGGTTGATCTGTCTAATATTGACAGTGGAGTGTTAAAGTCTCCCACTATTATTGTGTGGGAGTCTAAGTCTCTTTGTAAGTCATTAAGAACTTGCCTTATGTATCTGGGTGCTCCTGTATTGGGTACATATATATTTAGGGTCATTAGCTCTTCTTGTTGTATCGATCCTTTTACCATTATGTAATGGCCTTCTTTGTCTCTTTTGATCTTTGTTTCTTTAAAGTCTATTTTATCAGAGACGAGAATTGCAACTCCTGCCTTTTTTTGCTCTCCATTTGCTTGGTAAATCTTCCTCCATCCCTTTATTTAGAGCCATTGTGGATCCTTGCATGTGAGATGGGTTTCCTGGATACAGCACACCGATGAGTTTCAGTTTTTTATCCAATTTGCCAGTCTGTGTCTTTTGATTGGTGCATTTAGCCCATTTACATTTAGGATTAATATTGTTATGTGTGAATTTGATACTACCATTTTGATGCTAGCTGGCTGTTTTGCCCGTTAGTTGATGCAGATTCTTCATTTCGTTGATGCTCTTTACCATTTGGTATGTTTTTGGAGTGGCTGGTACTGGTTGTTCCTTTCTATGTGTAGTGCCTCTTTCAGGAGCTCTTGTAAAGCAGGCCTGGTGGTGACAAAATCTCTGAGTACTTGCTTGTTCGCAAAGAATTTCATTTTTCCTTCACGTATGAAGCTTAGTTTGGCTGGATATGAAATTCAGGGTTGAAAGTTCTTTTCTTTAAGGATGTTGAATATTGGCCCCCACTCTCTTCTGGCTTGTAGGGTTTCTACCAAGAGATCTGCTGTGAGTCTGATGGGCTTCCCTTTATGGGTAACCCGACCTTTCTCTCTGGCTGCCCTTAACATTTTCTCCTTCATTTCAACCCTGGTGAATCTGACAATTATGTGCCTTGGGGTTGCTCTTTTTGAGGAATATCTTTGTGGTGTTCTCTGTATTTCCTGCATTTGAGTGTTGGCCTGTCTTGCTAGGTTGGGGAATTTTTCCTGGATAATGTCCTGAAGAGTATTTTCCAAGTTGGATTCATTCTCTTCATCACATTCAGGTACACCTATCAAATGTAGATTAGGTCTCTTCACATAGTCCCACATTTCTTGGAGACTTTGTTCATTCCTTTTTGTGCTTTTTTCTCTAATCTTGCCTTCTTGTTTTATTTCATTGAGTTGATCTTTGACCTCTGATATCCTTTCTTCTGCTTGGTCAGTTCGGCTGTTGAAACTTGTGCATGCTTCGCAAAGTTCTCGTGTTGTGTTTTTCAGCTCCATCAATTCACTCATATTCCTCTCTAAGTTGTCCATTCTTGTTATCATTTCCTCAAATCTTTTTTCAAGGTTCTTAGTTTCTTTGCATTGAGTTAGAACATGTTCTTTTAGCTCACGGAAGTTTCTCATTACCCACCTTCTGAATTCTGATTCTGTCATTTCATCACACTCATTCTCCATCCAGCTTTGTTCTCTTGCTGGTGAGGAGTTGTGATCCCTTGTAGGAGGAGAGGTGTTCTGGTTTCGAGTGTTTTCCTCCTTTTTTGCGCTGGTTTCTTCCCATCTTTGTGGATTTATCCACCTGTCGTCTGTGTAGTTGCTAATTTTCATATTGGGTCTCTGAGTGGATGTCCAGATTGTTGATGATGAAGTTATTTCTATTTCTTAGTTTTCCTTCTAACAGTCTGGCCCCTCTGCTGTAGGACTGCTGAGGTCCACTCCAGGTCCTGCTTGCCTGGGGATCACCTGCAGCAGCTACAGAACAGTAAGGGTTTCTACCAGTTTCTTCTTCTGCTTTGTCCCAGAATGATGCCCGCCAAATGTCTGTCTGATCAGTCCTTTGTGAGGTGACTCTTTTGATATATGGGGGTCAGGGAGCTGCTTGAGGAGACAGTCTGTTCTTTATAAGAGCTCAAGTGCTGAGCTGTGAGCTCCGTTGTTCATTCAGAGCTACTAGGCAGGTACGTTTAAGTCTGCTGCAGCACAATTCACAAACCCCCTTTTTTCCCCCAGGTGCTCTGTCCCAGGGAGTTAGGGCTTTATTTATGAGTATCCATTGTGCTGCTGCCTTTTTTTTTCAGGGCTGCCCTGCCCAGCAAGGAGGCAGCCTAGTCACTGTCTGCCTGCAGAGGCTTTGCTGAGCTGCTGTGGGCTCCACCCTGCTGCAGGCTCCGCCCTGCTGCCATCTGAGCTTTCCTGCAGTCCTGTTTATATGGGTGTTGTTAGAACTGCCTCAGCAGTGGTGGCCCATCTCTGTAATGGCGGACTCTCTCTGTTATGGCAGGTTGCCTCGGCAACAGCAGGCTGCCTCAGCAATGGCAGACTACCTCCATAGGGGTGGAATACTTTGGTAATGGCAGACGCTTCTCCCCCACTGAGCTGCACTGTCTTGGGTTCAGCTGTGCTTGCCGTGAAACTCTCAACCCTGAGTGTTTCCAATTGCTGTTTTTTTTTGTTTTTGTTTTTGTGAGGGTGGGACCCGCCGAACCTGATTACCTGGCTCCCTGCCTCGGAGCCTTTTTTTTTTAAGTTGGACGGTTGACTGTCTCCCAGGTGTTCCAGTCACCTGCTGAAAGGGCGCTGGGATCTGTGTGATTTCCCATGCAGTGACCCACTGCGCCGGCTGAAACAAGAGTGCTGCCCAGGAATCTCCTGGCCTGTCTCTCTGTTTCAGTCCCGTTTAATCAGAGCAGTGTGCTAATCTGCCTTCCCGGAGCTTCAATTGCCAGCTTAAAAGGGCAACCAGACCAGTGTATTTTGTACGGAGAACCGCTGCGCCAGGGTGCTGGTGAAACAGCCGCACTGGTGACCCATGGGGCTCCTCCGCCTGGGAATCTCCTGGTCTGTGGCAATAAAGATCCATCCAGAAATGTGGCGTCCACTCACCCTCTGCGCTTTCACTGGGAGCTGCAATCCTGATCTGCTCCTAAAGGGCCATCTTGGATTGAGCTTAAAATTAAGATTTATTTCTAAAAAATTACATACAGTTCTAAATCACACAAAAGCAAATTAAAATGGTTAAGAATTCCTTTTAATTCTACAATTTATTGTCATTGTTTCTAGTCACCTAGAATGTTGCTGGAAACTGTGTTATATCTTGTTTTCTGTCAGGATAGCAAGTAATAAGAAATGTAGCTCACTTGTAATTATTCTGTTTTAAATTGTTCTAGTATACATTCAAGAAATTTATGTATTTGTAATTGCATGTTTTTTATCATAGGAGCAATTTACAGCGATGAGGGATTTGTATATGAAGAATGGCCAAGGTTTTGCACTAGTATATTCTATTACAGCTCAGTCCACGTTTAATGACTTACAGGACCTGAGGGAACAGATTTTACGGGTTAAGGACACAGAAGATGTAAGTATTTTTTTTCTCTGTAAGATGTACTGCTATCTCTTTGTGGCCAAATAAAAAAGTGCCTGTTTTCTCTATCAGTGGAGGATGTGGAAGCTATCTACCACATGCCTGACAGAGCCCATGTAACCAAAAATATTTTTTAACTTTCAAAATTAACTTAGAAATTATGTGGTGAGATGTTTAGAAAATGAGGACATATGTGATAAAATACCCTTTGTGCTATGGGCTAAAAAGTGCAGTAGGGGAGAAAGAGAAGTCAAAGAATACTTCATAGAAGTGGTACCCAAGTCGAGCTTTGAAAGGTGGTAGTTATGTCAGAAACAGTGTTCAAAGAACAGTACGAAGATCCATAATGGTGTGTTTTTATTTCTAAAATTTCACTGGTAGAATTCTTACATGCGGTTTTTTCCCTTTAAAATTATGTTAAAGATTTTAGTTAACTGGATTTTAAAAATTTTTGTTTCAGAAATCTTGTCTTAATTGTTGAATAGCATTGTTTTTGTGGTCGTGTCTTTTTTTTTGGCGAAACAAAATGTGTATTTCATACATTTACCTCGGTTTTGAACCACAGATTTTTTTTCAGTTGTAGAAATCAGGATTTAAAATTTCAATTGTACCTTTCTGGTTTTGTGTGTACTAATTATTAATGGGAGCATATAAATTTTCTCAAGGCACTTAACCTTGGGTAATATTATAGGCAGGAGGGAGTTATAAGATATGACTCATAACCAGCTGTAACCAGTGAATGGTTTTTTTCCTTTTAATGACTAATTTGTCCAAGAGAGTTTTGTTTTCATAGGCAATTATGTGCAGATTGAGCTCTGGTAATGTTAATCCCTTTGTTCCATGAAATAAATTAAAAAAGATGGAGTCGTAGATGCCTAGTGTGTTTAATCTAACACGAAAATTGCCTATTTTAGGTAGAAGGTCCACCAAGTTTCTTAATTTTTTTTTATAGTGTCCATCACCTCAAACAAATTACCTTGTTCTCTGGACACCTTCTAACTAAGGAAGTTAATACAGTTAGTTAACTGCCTCTTTTACTGGAAGTAGGGAGTTTTTGGATGGATGTAGCCAAGCTTCTATAGTGTGGAGAAAGGAGGAACACATAGCTACTTTGTGGTTTTATTTTTGTTGTTAATCCCCCTTAACATTTAATCTAAATAGATCTTCAAATGTAGATGTCAAATGCAGAAGTAGAACCTGTTGTTAATATCTTTATCTTGCCACTACTTTTGGCATCTGTTGTACCTGTGAGATGACACACTTAAACCAGTTAGGCCGGCTGGGCGCAATGGCTCACGCCTATAATCCCAGCACTTTGGAAGGCCAAGGTGGGCAGATTGGCTGAGCTCAGGAGTTCAAGACCAGCCTGGGCAACATGGTGAAACTGCGTCTCTACTAAAATACAAAAATTAGCTGGGGCTGGTGGCATGCCCCTGTAGTCCTAGCTACTCGGGAGACTGAGGCAGAAGTATCACTTGAACTGGGGAGGCAAGAGGTTGCAGTGAGCCTAGATTGCACTGCCGCACTCCAGCCTGGGCAACAGAGCAAGAATCCATCTCAAAAAAAAAAAAAAAATTAGGCCCACTGACTTGATTCTTTTCTGTTTTGTAGGAGATTCCTTTTCCTTCAAGTTTGTCTACTTGAAATTCAGCTATTAGTAGTGGTCCACAAGAGAATTTGGGGGTTATATTCTCTCTCTCTCTCTCTCTCTCTCTCTCTCTCTCTCTCTCTCTCTCTCTCTCTCTCTCATGTGTGTGTGTGTGTGTCTTGCTCTGTCTTCTCTGTGTGTGTGGGTGTCAGGGTCTTGTTCTGTCACTCAGGCTGGAGTACAGTGGCACAATCATGGCCCACTGTGTCTACCTCCTGGGCTCAAGTAATTTTCCCACCTTAGCTCCCTGAGTAGTTGGGACCATAGGTGTGTGCCACCCTGCCCAGCTGACTGTATTTGAATTTTTTAGTAGAGACCAGGTCTCACTATGTTACCCAGGCTTGTCTCAGGCTCCTGAGCTCAAGCAATCCTCCTGGCTCAGCCTCCCAAAGTCCTTGAATTACAGGCGTGAACCACTGGGCCTGGCCAGGATTATATTCTTAAAATAATTTAGCATATCTATGTAGTAGGATCTCTTCAGTATTTTTTTTTCTCTTCTTCCTTCACCTCTTCCCCTCAGCATACACTTTTTGTTACTACGTGGTAAAGCTTGCAGTCTTAACTAATCCATTTCAGTCAGTGGCAGATCATTGCGTATTCATTTAAAAGAAAAAGGCTAAGTAATGAGTATGTTATTGCTCATTTTACGTTTTTTTCTTCCCACAGGTTCCAATGATTTTGGTTGGCAATAAATGTGACCTGGAAGATGAGCGAGTAGTTGGCAAAGAACAGGGCCAGAATTTAGCAAGACAGTGGTGTAACTGTGCCTTTTTAGAGTCTTCTGCAAAGTCAAAGATCAATGTTAATGAGGTAACCTACAACTGCTGGGCAGCACAAACAAGTGCCTTTTGAGTTTGCTTTAACAGCCAGACTTTTAAGAAAACATTTTCATGTTTTAAGCAATCTTGATTCTAACATGTTATAGGAAACACTAAGTAATTCCTAGAAACTGTATTTGTTAGCTTACATGAGGCCCCTTTGATGGCTGTATGAGAATTAAATTTAGCTTATTGTAAAAGAGGAAGCTAGAATTGAAGAATGTGTATAAAGTCCTACTAAGCCTCTAAGTGATAATAAGCCTCTAAGTGATATGTGATAAAGTAGTGTATAAAATTGTCACATCACCCTTATATTGTAAGAATTATTTATCCAGATTTCTATAAATAGGTTGTAAAGTCAAGTTGGAAAATAACACGTGGAGGTAGGCACAGAAGGATGTGACCTTCATGGGTATCACAGAATTGTGTTTTGAGTCTTCCTCACTTTGGGGCATGATTCAAAGTGGGTAATCTGTGTGAGTATGGACATGTACCTGGAATTCACTTAGACTGTTAGGCCTGATACAGCAGGTGCACAAGGCTTTTTTAGGGAGTGTGGGTGTGGGGTCATTGAGTTAAGCACTCCGCTATCTTGAAAACATACCTGTGGACGAGAATACTTAGCATAATAAGCTGCGTGCCTGGGTGTAAAAGGCCAGTAGTTTACTAGTTTACTGGGCTCCTAAAAATTTAGTACAATTTCCAACTGTCTCCACCAGTCAACCTTAAAAAGTTCCCTTGCTTTCGTTTACTTTACCATAAGCCTTTTTAAAAAATAAAAACAAAACAGAGTAGGCTTCTTTCCTGCCCTTGTTTGCCATTTATAGCATTACACCTAATCAGTCAGAATTCAGAACACTTAACTACGTAGGTGAGAGTGAGAGTGGGTTAATCTATGAGTCTCTGTTTTTGCTTGCTGTTCCTCTCTGGCATGTGGTTCTGCTGATCACTTTTTCTTGACTGATATTATGCTTATAGACTATTATCTGACTTTTTAAAATGACCAAGTTACTTTAAACACCTGGCAGGTAAAAAAAATTAAGCTTGCTTCAGCTTCTGTATTTTACAGATAATCAAGAATGCCATTGCTTGCTTTTTTATGTAAAACCATTTTTAACAAGTATATAAAAACAAGAAATTTATAAATTTTATTTATTCAGCAAATACTAGCTATTATGTGTCTGGCACTGTGTCAGGCCCCCAGGTCACAGTCACCCAGACAGACACTATTCCTGCCCTAAAGAAGTTTGCACCCTACTGGGGGAACAAGTCTTTCAACAATAATTAAAGAAAAAAAAATAATTTGATAAAGAATTTGTTAGAATTAGTGAATCTGTTTTGCTAGCAGAATGGTGATATGAGGTCACCATCTGCAAGATAATTGGCCTTAAGAGATGTGGTTTCTTGCTGTCCTTGTCCTTACTTCCATGGGACCCAACAACCAAATTCATCAGGCTAGGTGGGGCTGGGTTGGGCCTGGGTCCAGTGCATGGGACTTCTCCCTTTGGGATCCAGAGGACAGTGTACTATATGTTTGTGAGAATCTACATGCTATTAAACTTATTCCAGTCAGCAGAGATACTTTTTCATAGCAGTCTTGTTAAAGCAGAGAGTTTATAAATGAGGGTTTATATAAACAAACAGAAAAACCATAAAATGAAATGCATTAGCCATCTCAAGAATCTTTACTTTTTTGGAAAACATACAAACTTTATGCTCAGTTCTTGAGAGTGGGGAGAATGGAGCAGATAATTTGAGTTTTTAAAAATATTTTTCTCTTAATAATCTGATAATCCAGCTACAGGATTCCTTTGATAGTTAATAGCTGCTCACACAACTTTTGCCTTGTAAATTTTTTTGTAATTTTTGAATGCCTGAAGTATAGAGTGATACTTTCAAAGATTCACCTCTTGGCCTTAAATTTGAAAACAGACAAGGATATATATATAAAATATATATATATATAAACGTTTTTTAAAACTCTTATTCACACCACTTTGCAATGTTCTGAAAGTAATATATGGCTATACAAAAATCACAGTAGTCTTAATCAAGAATTAATTGTTCTTTGCTGAGGCTGGAATAGTAATTGGAATCAAGAGATCCCAATTTAGGAACGGGAGAGGGATTGAGAAACTCTATTCTGTGTTCCCTTTAGATTTTTCTATAGTTCAGAGAGATGAGGAAGAACCTAGGCTGGGGCCTTTCAGCATTTCTAACCAAATATTATAGTTCGAACTTGCCCTCATCACTGAACCATCTGCTGCTGTGAGGTAGGCAATGTTTTCCAAAGAAATAATTTAGAATAATGCAACAAAAATTAGTTACCTTTCTGTATAGTACCAGGAACCAGAAACTGGCTAGTATGAAGAAACTGAAATAGAAACTACATGTAATTTTGATGAACTTACTGTTTTAGTTTTTTTTTTTTTTAATATATATTATAGCTTATGCACTGAGTGTAGGGAGCCAATGAAAGCCCATTTGTGGCTTAAGCACACTGAGTTCTTGAAGTTTTCAGAGTTTTGAAACAACTTGGACTTCAGAGTTGTAAAACTACAATTTTGTTTGTAAATTCTGTTTTCAGACTTTCTTTAGAAATGAGCTAACAGAGGGTTAAATGATTTGAAGAGGATGGGAGTGGGAAGAATGGAGCAGAAAGAAAAGAATTTAAATGATTCACTTTTACTTTTGTAGCTTTGGATAAATCACTCAGGCTTTTTTTTTTTTCCTTTTTAATAGTTTAGTCTTGTAATCTGGAACATTTAAAAAAGTAAACAGGTAATTATCATTTTAAAGAAATATAATTGTTTATCATCTATCTTAAATGTAGATTGATAATTTTAAAATATTTTACTGCTAAAATTTACTCAAAAGTTATAAGAACAATAAAAAGAATTTGTTTACCCTTCATCAGATTCACCCATTACTAAAATTTTGCCGCTTGTTTACAGAAATCACACTTCTTTACTCCTAAATATTTTGATGTGTATGTATCCTCAGATCAAAGACATTGTCTTCCACAACCACAGCACAAGTATTAGAATCATAAAAATTGAGGACACGGTCTGTGTTTGTTATGTATTCACATCTTACTGGTCATCCCGGTAATGCTCCTTAAAGTCGTCCATTTTTTAATATACTTCTGCAAAGAACTATTTATTACAGATTGGTAACAGGAAGGGACTTCTGTGATATTTGTCTTTAATTCCAGATCATTAGTAAGTGTTGTATTTCATAGCAAAGCTTGTCTGTTTCTTGTTTTAATATTTGGCATCTGAATTAAAATTACCTGCTTTTATGAAATAAGTGGCATTGTATTTTTGTCTTTGATAATTTTCACTTTTCATCCAAAAATGAATCCATAAGATTTATTAACAAACATTTAGGCGCAGTGGTTCACACCTATAATCCTAGCACTTTGGGAGGCCGAGGCAGGCAGATCACTTGACCTTAGATGTTTGAGACCAGCCTGGGCAACATTGAGAAACCCTGTCTCTATGAAAAATACAAAAATTAGCTGAGTGTGGTGGTGCACACCTGTAGTTCCCAGGTATTTGGGGGCTGAGGTGGGAGTATTGCATGAGCCTGGGAAGTGGAGGTTGCGGTGAGCCGAGATTGCAACACTGCACTTCAGCCTGGGTGACAGAACAAGACTGTGTCTCAAAATAAAACAAACAAACTAAAAACCACAAATATTTGTCATTTCAAATCAAGGATTAGCAGACTTTTTCTACTTTTTACTTTAACCAAAATTAACATTTTTTTAAAAAAGCAAACAAAAATCATGTGTCTCTGCATGTGATACCTTGAAAGGGAGACGGTATCTCTTTTGTCCTATTTTAGACAAAAATGTATAACCTGAATCCAATCATGAGAAAACATCAGATAAACCCAAATTGAGGGAAATTACTAGACTTTATTTTTCAGAAATGACAATGTCCTGAAAGACAAAGGCCAAAGAACTGTTTCAAATTTTAAAAAACTAAAGTGAGAGGAAATAAAATGCAGTGTGTAATCCTGGATGGATCCTGTCCTTGGACGGGGGAAGTACATTATTGGGGCAATTGACAAAATTGGAATTTGCTCTGTAGTTATGCAAAATAATGTGTCAATCCTTAAATGTCTTAAGTGTAGTAACTGTAATATGTTTATATAAGCGAATATATTTTTTCTTAGGAAATACTTATTAAAGGACTTGATAGTTAAGATCTACTCTCAGATGATTCAGAAAATTGTGTGTGTGTGTGTGTGTGTGTGTGTGTGTAAGTAAAAGTGGCAAAATGTTACTAATTGGTGAATCTGGGAAGAATATGCCAAAGTTGTTGGTACTATTTTTGCAACTTTTCTGTAGGTTTGAAGTTTTTACCGTTTTTCACCACCAGTTCTTATTCTTGATTTGATATTTAATACCTAGGAGTAAGGGCGTTTCCTTCATTATAAATAGGTAAGTCCGGCTTTACCGTGACTGAAAGCAGAGCCTTCTAAGAAACCTGACTTTAAAAGAAAAAAGCAGAATGCAGATCTAAGAACAGAGTAATTCTTACCAGAACTGTTTTGTGGAAAAAAGTCTTAAAAGTTGGTTAAGTACTTTTTTTCTTGTTTTTAGATCTTTTATGACCTGGTCAGACAGATAAATAGAAAAACACCAGTGGAAAAGAAGAAGCCTAAAAAGAAATCATGTCTGCTGCTCTAAGCCCATAGTCAGCAGCAGCTCTGAGCCAGGTAAGATGCTAAAAGCAGAACAAGTACCTTTCTCACCCTCTTATTTTGGGTTTTTCCAGACTTTAACCACTTCCCATTTCATCTATTATGATATTTCTAAGTTTCTGTAACTTGTAAATGTGATTTATAACTTGTAGGTTAACTGTTGGATAACTTGACCTCTCCCCTTGAGCTAAGCTTTCTGACAGCAAGGACCGTGCCTGTTTTTCTTGCCACTGTGTCCCCAGTGCCTGATACAGAGTTGGGTATTAAAAAATAGTGGTTGAATGAATAGAACACTTTCCTAGACGACTCCCAAATTCATGCTGAATTGAAGTGAACCAGTAGTTGCTCTGAAACACAAAGACATAAGTGTACATTTGGTGAATTACCCCAAAGTGAACACACCCGTGGATAACAACAGGAGTCACTCATCCCCAAGTTACATTAAAACTCTGCCCTGATTTCTAACTCCATGGATTAGTTTTGCCTTTTTTTGAACTTTACATAAACAGAAATATGGTGTATTTTTCTGTGCCTGGCTTCTTGAACTCAAAAATATGTTTTTGGAAATTATTTATATTAAATGTAGCAGTAGTTCATTTTTATTGCGTGAGAGTACTGGCAGTATGTTTATGTATTCTGCTATTGGTGTTCATTTAAGTTCTTTCTTTAGGGAAGTGAGTATGAATAATTCTGTGCACATCCCTGTATGACTTTGTGCACATGTGCATGCATTTCTGTTGGGTATATATCTAGCAGTGGAAAGCCAGATCATATGCTATACGTATGGACAGCTTTAGTAATTACAGCGAAAAAGTTCTTCAAAGTGGTTGTACCAGTTTACACACTCTCCAGTGGCTTTTGAGTTCCACATCCTCCCCAGAATTGGTGTTGTCAGTCTTTTTAACTTGACCCATTCGGGGAATGTGTGGTGGTATATTAGTGTAATTTTGATAGTCATTTTCCTTTCTGGTATGGATCAACTTCTTTCAAATAAAGGTTTCTATTTAGGCTTCTAAGTATTAGTTGACTTTTCTACTAGTTACTATTTTAATTTCCACTAGGTGGCCCCATTGAAAAGAAATTTATGACAGCATGTAAGCTGACTGTCAAGTCTATGGGGACTGTTTTTCTTTAATTATGTATTTAAATCCCCTGAACATTTCTACTTCATCAGTTCTATAAATAATACCATAAAAGAGTATTGTCATGGAGTGGATTTATTATGTAATTTGATGCTAATTGCATCATTCTTACTGAACTTGGTCTCTAGTCAGCGTAAACTGGTCCCACTGGAGAGTTGGTTATACTAACTCTCGTAAATCTCTTGGGTTCATTTAGTAGATTATCCCTTAAGACCTCCAGATTAACTAATATGTGCTTCCTGAGAGATATGAATCTCTCTCTTAAGGGAAATACCTGAGTCATTGTAGCTCCCTTTTTAAATGAAGTTACGTAGAGGAAAATACACAAAAAGGAGAAAGGGACATGGGGATTATCTCTGGTAGTCAGATTTAGGAAAGACAGCATCTGGCTAAATGTTTGCTTTAGGCTTTTAATGAAGTCTTAATAACTTTTTTTTTTTTTTTAGATGGAGTCTCGCCCTGTCACCCAGGCTGGAGTGCAGTTGTGCAATCTTTGCTCACTGCAACCTCTGCCTCGCTGGGTTCAAGCGATTCTCCTGCCTCAGCCTCCCAAGTAGCTGGGACTTCAGATGCACACCACCATGCCTGGCTAATTTTTGTATTTTTAGTAGGGATGAGGTTTCACCACATTGACCAGGCTGGTCTCAAACTCCTGACCTCAGGGTGATCCGATCCACCCACCTGGGCCTCCCAAGTGCTGGGGTTACAGGCATGAGCCACCGTGCATGGCCTTGATTTCAATAACTTTAAATCATCAGTTCCCTGAAAGTGATTATTAAGATTACTGGTGTATGTGTTCATTTAGTCAAGGGTGCAAAGATAGAGAAAATGAAGGCTCCAGTTCCAGTTCTTAAATACCATGTTATTTAACTCTTTTATAGTTGACTGGCTCATTAACAGCTCATTATGGCTGGCCCTAGTTTAATTTTTAGTTCTCACAAAATATTCTTTTAGCTTATGCTTAAAGGAAAGGTGCTAACACCTGGCCTATTACAGTTTTTAAAATTCATTTATGTATACCCAACAATGTGACAGTGCCTTGTGAGTTTTCCCTTAGAGAAGATAAATCTTGACCTAAATCTGAAGTAAGACTTTTATCCTGCTTGCATACATTCTTAGACTCTGGTGTGTAATAAAGTTTACTTAATAATTCATCCAAGATCTCTGTGGATGTTTGATAATACCAAATAATAGGTGACTTAGCAATCAGACTGCTTTGCAGTACATTTTACTGTGATTATAGACTGGAAGTGCCATGTTGTTCCTATACTTGTAAAAGTACTGAAATACAGGGTAGATTTAAATAGAAACTATAAACCTTTTTAGTAAGAGTATATGAACCCTGAGGGCAGCTTATCTAGTCCATAGCCTTTAGGCAGAATTGAATTGAATCATGTTAATCTCTTTTTTATATGTCCTAGTTTTAAAGGCATCAGAGAAAATCATTATCAGGATTCTTCCTTTAACCTGATTCTTCTCTGTTGACAATAAGACTAACTTTGATTCTTCTGTCCTTGAATATGGGGATTAGCTCTCTCTGTATCATCTCTTGCCTTAAAACCTGTATTAGGAATGGTAATTCTAATGTATAATCATAAAATGCTTCAATAAAGAATGTCTTATGGAAAAGTTTATGGAGGCAGGTGTTCTTTTCTTTAGTAAAAAAAGGAAAGTAAAAATAAGATGGTAATGAGATAGAATAAAAATAGCATTGTTTTCCTCTGTACAGACAGGATTGTCAGATGTAATGGGAAACACTAAATATAATTGAGTATAACTAAATATAACTGAGGATAACTAAAGTTGATCAGTTAGACTCCTCTCTTGTGAACTCAGTCTTCTAGTTTTGATTTTTTAAAACATTTTGAAAGGGAATTTAAAATAGCACTGTTACTGTAGCTGTTAAGCATAATTTAGTTCTCAAGTTATGATCAGCTAAACTTAGTATTTTTTTTGCTTTGTTGGATACCTGCTTGTGTAGTACCGTCTTCTGACATCAAGAGATTAACCATACGTGTGTGTCTATCTGTATCCAATGTTTTAGATTACAGGAATGAAGAACTGTTGCCTAATTGGAAAGTGCCAGCATTCCAGACTTCAAAAAATAAATCTGAAGAGGCTTCTCCTGTTTTATATATTATGTGAAGAATTTAGATCTTATATTGGTTTGCACAAGTTCCCTGGAGAAAAAAATTGCTCTGTGTATATCTCTTGGAAAATAAGACAATAGTATTTCTCCTTTGCAATAGCAGTTATAACAGATGTGAAAATATACTTGACTCTAATATGATTATACAAAAGAGCATGGATGCATTTCAAATGTTAGATATTGCTACTATAATCAATGATTTCATATTGACCTTTTTATCATGAGCCTCCCTATCAAGCACTAAAAAGTTGAACCATTCTACTTTATATCTGTAATGATAATATGAAATGTCCCCTCAGACTCATTGCAGCAGATAACTTTTTTGAGTCATTGACTTCATTTTATATTTAAAAAATTATGGAATATCATCTGTCATTATATTCTAATTAAAATTGTTTGTGCATAATGCTTTGGAAAAAATGGGTCTTTTATAGGAAAAAAAACTGGGATAACGGATTTCTATGGCTTTCAAAGCTAAAATATATAATATACTAAACCAACTCTAATATTGCTTCTTGTGTTTTACTGTCAGATTAAATTACAGCTTTTATGGATGATTAAATTTTAGTACATTTTCATTTGGTTTGTGTGTTTTTGTTGTTTATAGATTTAAGTCCTTTATTTTATAATGACCACATTGTTTTAAAGGCGACAGCAGCTCCTTTCTGCCGAGTATCCGCAGAACACTGGCTTTACACTAAGTAACTGGTGATTTCTCTAGGAACAGACCTCGCACTTTCTCTTCTAGATACATTTATTCCTGCTATACAGTAAAATGCATCAGACAACATAGAATAGTTTTGTATATTCTCTCTTGATCTTAAAGATTGTATCTTATTGAATAAAAATCCCACTGTATATTATTTTTATATGTAAAAAGATAAGTTTAATACTGTATCAGGGTTTAACTTTTACTATTTCAGATCTTCCACAGCTTGAAATTTCATCGAGGGAATCCTTTTGCCATTGTTAACTTGTTATGTGTGAGTCCACCGATGAAGTGTCATGTGAAAAATTTGAAACTTGCTTTATAATAGACTGAAGAATTTGAGATAAATGAGAGAAAATTGAAACACATTAAAGGAATGTGTTACTTTTGCTTCAACTATTTATGAAATAGTATGGTAGTAGTAATGTGGGAGAGAGTGCTGGAGTTAAAATTTTAGCTTCCTATATAGTGGTGCTTTTCTTTTCCTTCCCAATTATTTTCCTCTTTATGAAAGATAGGGCTTAAGTAAGACATGGACCCAGGGTGATATGACTTATGTGATCTCTGTAAAGAGAGATAGAACAAAAGCCTGTTAGCCAGTTAAGTTCTGGAAAAGGAAAGAAGCAAGCTTAGGAAACCCTGTGCCTTGTGCCCAGATATTAAGGTGGAGACCAGTCCTAGAAAGTCTTAAGTCATTGCTCAGGGATCTCTGGATACTGTCTCTTTGCAACTAGGTATGAAGAAGTGTTCATGCCTTGCTGAGATTTTCCAGGCATGTGGTCAGCCTGTCATTTACTGAACTGAAATTTAAAAATCAGGTTTTCAATGTTAAGCTCTGACCAACCTGGGAAAACGTTAAAGTATTATTTTGAAAAACTGAAAATTATTATTATGATTTTTAGTTTCTAATAAACGTAGTTATCTAACACTATCCTTCTACTGATCCAGTTCTACATGTGTCTGGGATTGTACACAATCCCATTAAAACTATAGTACATTTTAATGAAGCATTAGGGCCAGTTGTCAGGTCAGGGTGGCAGCTTTTATTTTAAGGTCCTCTTAAGTCATTCTCCTTTAAAACACCCCTCAAACCTTTCTTTGAACTTAAAATCATAGACAGACTTCTCATCAACCAGTAAAACTTTCTAAATACTATCTTGTCCCATCTATTATATAGTTATTGGCCAGATTAAATAGAAGTCATTTAATAAGACTAATTCCAAGTCTCACTCTGCTTGACTACAAGCATAAACTCAGTGTCTTCTATTTTAGAATGTGGTAGAGAAAGATGACAGTTACAGATTCCTTTGTCACACCTTAACAGTCCATCTTAACTTCGGCTAAAGGCGGAACTTTCTAGCACACAGAGGTATGCAGAGCAGGCCCAGCTGAAGTCAGATGTGCAAGAAACCTATGGTTGCTGAACAAGATGAAAAGGTATCCTGTTAGAGAGTGAGTTACGTGTGATTTTATATTGTCCTGAGGTGAACTCCTTAGTCTTGGTTCCAAAAGGAAAGGTACCTGAAAATAAATGTATTTTTATAGCTGAAAAATAAAAAATAAAAGAGTTTCTAGGATATTGTACGAATGTCAAATGACAAATGTCTAGAAACCGATTTCATTTAAGTATGTGTGGCTGTTTAAAATATAATGACTTTGGTTATATGAGTGACATAGAATTTAAGGAGGCTTGATGCCATAGTTCATAGTTTGCTTCAGTGGCTTGGTGGCATCCCCCAACAGTCTGCTTTTAGAAATTAACAGTAAAAAATCCAGCTGTGATCTTACCCTCCACCAGGGGGAGCTTCAACATAGATTAAATTTTTTTTTTTTTTTGAGAGGGAGTCTCTCCCCAGTTGCTGAGGCTGGAGTTCAATGGAGCAATCTTAGCTTACTGCCTCCCAGGTTCAAATGATTCTCCTGCCTTAGCCTTCCGAGTAGTTGGGATTACAGGCATCTGCCACCACGCCCAGCTAATTTTTTGTATTTTTAGTAGAGGCTGGTCTGGAACTCCTGACCTCATGATTCATCCACCTCGGCCTCCCAAAGTGTTGGGATTACAGGCGTGAGCCACCGCGCCTGGCCTGGTTAATACTTTGATAAGCATTGAAGTAGCTATTTAAGTCCTAATCCATAAACGCTGCATGGTTCACAAAGAGGCATAGAGATGCTCTCTCAAGAGTTTACAATCTAATGGGGCAGGGAAGATACTACAGTTCATCAAAGGTATGAATAACACTGTAGTTTTCTGGACTGTGGCTACACGGGTAATTCTCTTAAGAACTTTTGGTGAAATACGGATGTTGGTGTGTTACTTTCTTCTCCCTACAACTTTGAACTAATCCATGTTTGGCACCTTAATGTGCCATCATAAATGGCCACCATTTACTCCTCACTGAAACAATCTACTTCTTTGAGTTTATAATGTGCTTGGAGAAGTTAATACTCAGAAAAAACACTGACCTTTATTACCAACTTTATTAAAACAGGCTTGGAACATTTTTTTCCATTGAAGAATAGTAATAAGACATTCTACATTTCCTGGACATGGCCAGTTTAAAATATTTTGCCACGTTATCCTCATAAATATGCATGTATGTCAGTTTATGTGGCTCAGTTTTGTCTTAGGGACTGAGGGACAGAAAGAGAAATAAGGAATACCTTGATATTTTCCTTTGTAAACAATCACAGCAGAATGTTAGAAAACATAAAATATACACTTATAAGTTGTATGTCTGTTGAAACCAAAGTGTGAAGAAATTGTCAGGTATTTGGAGGAGGAAAATAATTTGTAAAATAACCTTTTTAAAAATTTGGGTTTTGTACTTATTTAAGGTGCTAAATATGTGTTAAAATATCCCCTCTTGAATCAGCTCCAGGCTTGAAAGGGCAGAGTGGTTTGGATTCTTGTCCGGGGTCTGGAAAGAGCTCATCTTGCCAAGAGGGAAATGAATGTGAGCTTTGAGGCAGTCTGACCACCTAGCTTTTAGTATTTATGTTCCCCAAAATGTAAAAACTGTAAGTTATTCTTGAAAATGTCATTTAGACATTACTTTGATCGTGGATTTTACTGCAATTTCATCTGGGTTTGTTGACTGTGCAGTCCATTTTTTGCCCTGTCTTGCTTAAATATTCTTGTTGAGAACAGCTGGAGGCTCTGATGGGTTCATAGTTCTGTTTTCTGGGAAGGCAACATGGATTCTGTTTTATAGACATTAATGAGCTTTAAATGGTAATTGGGCGATGTAAGTTCTTTGGGCTCGTTGAGAAGTGGCCTCCTGTGGTTCTGGACCCAAGGTGTGACATACATTTCCCACTAATTGCTTCTCTTAAGAAGCAAGAGATTGGCTGTTCGTCTTGAGGAAAAACCTTAATAAACCTTCCCATTTTAAACAGTGGTGTGACTCTTATTTTGAGCTGTTTTCAATGAATTTTTTTAAAGCTTAACCATGTTCAGATTTGTGTGCTAAATGTTGTAGGGCATGCAAATCAGAACAGGACATGATCCTTATGGGCCTACCAACAAGTATTCATTGCACTTCTGCTGCATGGCAAGTGCTGATCTGCTTGCTGGGGACACGACGGTGAAGACTAGCAGCCCGACTCAGATCCCTCTCCTCGTGGAGTTTTTATCTTTAGAAAACGGTAAAAGACAACTGTTGTGTAATGAGTGCTTCGAAAAAGAGTTAAGTGGTGGAAAGGGGCAAGAGTGCCGGGCAGAGGGAATGTGGTGGTAGTGGGTTAAAGGTTTATATCTCATTTAAGTTGGTATTTGAGTAAGTGTTTGAAGTGAGCAGCCCATGCAGCTGCCTGGGGGAAAGGACTTTCATTCCTCGGGGAAAGGGTGTGTGCCCATGCCATGAGGTGGACATGTGCCTGGTCTGTTGAAAACTAGCAAGGAGCTCAGTATGGGTGGAGCAGAATGAGCAAGGAGGAGAACAGTAGTAAAAGAGAGGCAATGTGATGGGTAAGGGGAAATTTCCCACAGCATTTACTCTGTGTTGAGTCCACGAAAAGGATTTCAGTCAAGGATATAATGTGATCAGACCCCCCTCAACCATAATATGCCATTAGCAGTGCTCTGTTGAGCTGAGAATAGCCCATATGGGGGCAAACATGAAGCATGATACCAGATAGAAGATGGAGTCGTGAGGAACGGTGATCTGGACCGTAGTGGTAGCAGTGGAGTGGCTACAGGTGTATTTTGCAAGTGGAGCCAGCAGCATTTACTGACACATAAGAGTATAATAGAAGACAAGGAAGAATCCAAGATTTGGGCCAATAATCAAGTGAAGATTGTGACGGGAGTAGGTTGGAAGGAGAATGAGGATGGGCAGGAGTTCCATTCTGAACCTGCTATGTGCAAGAAGTGTGTGGCATTCCAGAGATTTATAGTAGGCATATGAGTTGGATATGAGTCGAATTCAACAGAAGCAGTCTGGAGACGACCTTTAATATTTTAAAACATGAAGCTATGTAGAATCACTAGGGTTGAGTGTAGATAGAAAAGAGGTCCCTGAGGAATTGTATCAAGAGGTTGAGAGATGGAGAGGAATCAGCAGAGGAAAACTTGGAGGGTGCTGAGGACCCTGATGGACTGTCAGTGGAATGGTTGGGGACAGTGTCTGGAGTAGATACAAGGAAAAATGGGGAAAAACAGTGGAGACCTCAAGCATGGATTGCCCTATTAAGGTGGGTGAAATAGTGGGTGTTCCTGTGCTAATGGGATGACCCATTGAGAAGGAAAACTGAGTATGCAAAATGGGTGGAATCTACTATAAAAGTAAACCTGACTCAGATAGGAGTGTAAGTGGGCATAGTTGCAGGAGAGAAATGGTATATAGGTAAAGAGAAGGTCACAAAGAAGGAAAGTAGTATGAGGCGGGACAGATGCTTTCTGTTCTGGGTTGAACCTCCCCAGAGAGGGGAGTTTGAAGTAGGCCTTTAAGAAAGGGTGGGATTTTCAACAGGTGAGAGTAGGGAAGAATAGGCATATTTCAGGAAAAGGCAAGTGCAGAAAACAGAAATGAACAAGAAGTTACCTAGTTCCATTTGGTGTTGGGAAATGTGGAAGGAGGACATTGGAAGAATACATTGGGGCCGTGTCATGGCTGACCTTGAAAAGGTCTAGAAGTTAACTAGCAGGTTGAATTAAGTAGGATGAAAATAACAGTTTTCAGGGTCATTTTCTGTGAATTCTGATGGTCCTTTCTTCATTTCTCACTTCATTTCCCCCCTTTCTCTAATGAAGATGACAGCTAAGCCTCATGACTCCCAGACAAATGTTCCATTAAGAAGGGAACCATCATTATTTGACCCCCAAAGATGTTAAAGAAGACTGGAAAATGTCATTTTCTCACCCTGTATTTCTCTGTTTCACCTGACCTGATTCTGTTCTTCTTGGACTCTTAGAGGACCTGGCTCCTACTGGGCAGGCAGAATGCTGGTATCCTCCCAATTTTCCTCTCTACTCTTCATGAACAGCATGAGACAGCAGCTCCTCTCTTCCATCCTAGTGATCTACCATATTGTATTGAGAAGGCTTGGAGGGGACTCTTCCTTAATCCACCCCCATCCGTTAGCTGCCAGCACTCCCACCAGGATCCCATCCTCAGACCTCTTGTGGGTGAGAAGAAGAGCACAGGCCACACTTCCGTTGCCCTTAGCATCACTAATGTCTCCAGTGGCACAGGTTGGGGAATTTGAAGCGGACACCAGGATCAAGGGAACTCTAAGCATGCAGCCTTCTCAGTTTGGAAAGCAGGACTTGGAATAGTGAGACTAGGCACTGGGACCTACCTGTCTTCCTTGGAGAGGGGATACATGTACATGGAGAAGGTTAAAGAAGATATTTGATCGTTATACTCCCAGTAGGGTCCTGAAGCCTAGTCAGAAGCTCAGTCAAGGGTTATTTGGACTCTTGAAATCACTGGCATAAAGCCTATCTGGGATATGGATTTTATTTTGGGGGAAATGAATTAACAGATGCTTGGAACTTCAGAGCAGGGATTTTAACACCTGCTTAAGTCAGTCTGGCCCATTGCTCACTATGGCCAGTTGTATGGTGTGGGAGTGCAAATGGAGGCCCTGGGCTAGGACATGGAGGTGATCTAGGTGATGACTCTAGCTTTGGCACCTCTGCTCAGGGATCTCAGGTGCTGAGGTTACTCCATTTGGAAGAACCTCTGTTGCTTCTTTTTTAATGCCTATCCACCCATCCGTCGCCCCCCACTTTCCTACCTCTTCTACACAAACGACTGTACTCCTGCTGCCTTACTGGCAGCTCAATCCCTGGTAGGAACACAATGCCTGGAGTGTGGCCAACAGTAGAAGCTGGAGGCAGGGAAGGCGCTGAACACTCAGCTCTCAACTTCCTTCCCCATTGCCCTGCTCTGACCCTCCCTTCGTAATCACAATGATGGCAGGAGAGAATCTAGCAGACCCAGTGTCCCCAGTGGGACCACCAGCATGGCAAGTTAGAAAAACTCCTAGGGTAGGGTAAGTCTGGGACCAGATGTTGTTGCCAGAGGACAAGGAGATGAACTGGGCCAGGAAGATGAGTGGAAAGGGATCGAGGAAGCAAGGGAAAAACTCTGAAGGATGGGGCAAAGGTGACTTCCTCTGGAGTGGACATTGGGACCCACTTGGGATTGAGTAGGTGTGGGAAGTGGCTGTGATCATCTGAAGGGCCTGAGTTCTGGGTAGCCAATAAGAGCATGACAATGGAGACAGGGAGCTGAGTGGGAGGGGTGAGAACTGAAGGCTCACCAGACAGCTTGCATTAAAATAGAATTGGCCTGGGAAGCTACGGTGGAGAAGCCAGAGCACCAGCCAGGGACAAAGGGCTTGGAGTGGGTGCTGGGGTTAGAGTTTTCCTGCTCTCTTGAAAGTGACTGGCCGGAGGCCGAGGCGGGTGAATCACAAGGTTAAGAGATCGAGACCATCCTGGTCAACGTCGTGAAACCTTGTCTCTACTAAAAATACAAAAAATTAGCTGGGCATGGTGGTGTGTGCCTGTAATCCCAGCTACTCAGGAGGCTGAGGCAGGAGAATTGCTTGAACTCAGGAGGCGGAGGTTGCGGTGAACCGAGATTGCGCCATTGCACTCCAGCCTGGGTAACGAGCGAAACTCCGTCTCAAAAAAAAAAAAAAAAAGGAAGTGACTGGCCACAGCTCTCCTTCTGGAGAATGGGCTGAGGACAAGAGTGAAAAATAGGCCTTAGAAAGCAGCTAAGGGGCCTTGACTGCTTGTCTTCTCTGAAGCAGGAGGTGGGCTCAGCACAGGGCTCAGTTTGAGGAGTGGAGGTCACATGGGAACTTGTGCTCAGTACTAGAGGTAGAGAAATGAGTAATGAGTATTTGCCACCCTGGAGGTGCAGCATTGTAGAGGGGAAAATAGGCACAGAAGTAACTTACAAAATAAGTTCTGGCAGTGGTGGAACTGGATTCCTCGGGAAACAGCATATGCAGAGACCGAGTGGCATGAAAAGAACCCAAGCTTGGCACACTCAGCCCCTCACCTTGGAAGGTAAAGTGGGTGGGACCTAATTGGGCAGGACTGGGCTAGACATCGGGAAAACAGTAAACAGGATGAAATGACAGGAGCTCACAGACAGATCCTGCACTTGTTCCTCTGTCCTTCAGACCCTGAGCAGCATTTCCATGCAGCTGCAGGTCACAGCCTCCAGCCAGGAGGAGGATGTGAGGCAGGTGGGGCTCAAGTGGAAGCCTGGGGTGAGGCTGGCCGGGAGAAAAGGAGTCACAGGAAAACAAAACTTCATTCTTCCTTTGGATGAGGACAGCTTCCCCTGTAAACCAACAGCCCCAGACAGCCTCAGATGGGCTGCTGAGCCACCCGTCCCTGGCCAGTTGAAGGAAACGGGGTCATCACATTCAGAGTGGAGAAGACTTAAAGAGGGGCAAGGCAGACAACCCAGAGCCAGGTCACGGTGTGTGGAGGCCAGTTGGGAACCAGCGAGGGCAGGGTTGTAGAGCTCACGGGAGCTGGGTTTTGGCAGTGTTTCTGGTATGTCCCTGGAAAGGGCCAGTCATCTTGAGGGACATGCCCAGAGGAGTATATCGGTGAATAGGTTCTGTGAGTGGAAGCCAAGGACTGCACAGCTGTGGCCTGAAGCCAGGCGTAGAATCCTGCTCTTTCTCCCCAGGACCTGACCAAGATACAAGGAAAAGAGAAGTGGTTGTCACGGTCCCCTTGTCAAATTAGTATTGCCCCAAGCTGTATACAGGCACACACTGCTCCTCAGTGTCCTCTCTGACCAGGAACACAGAGGCGCTTTCAGGGAACGGGGCAAGTGTGTGCATGGTGGTGGGGATGAGAAGGAATCCAGTGGGGGATAAGAGTGTAACCGTGCAAGGACTTTGTTTCAGGGACATTGACAAGGCTGACTTAATTGTGATGCCGTGCATGTGCATGTGTGCTCCAGAACTGGGCAGGGGGTGGTACAGATCTGGAGCTTGGAGGGGGTGGACAGAGTGATATGTCAGGACTCACTGAAGGGTAGAAAGCCAGGAAGTAAGTCCTCTGTCAAATTCAGAGGGGATCTGGAAGAGAGGTTTCATCACTGTTTGTTTTAGGGGTTGAGTAGAGGAAGCAGAAGGAAGGCAACTGACATCCTAATAATCGTACTAAGGGGATGACTGCAGTTTGAGCTGACCCCTAGGCTTTTCTGGCTCAGTCATCCTTTGGCAGCACCATCCTGAGCCCTGACTCCTCTCATGAAGGCAGGCTTCACAGATGCCTCCACCCCATCAGGAGGGAATGGATTTTGGGAGGACAGCCACAGCACCTTTAGGCCATTCATTTCCAGGGTGGCTGGAGGACAGGAGGAAGGGAGTGATTTGGGAGCTATAGGGGACTCTAGCAACTAAGGTTTCATAGAGCAGAAAGAGCAGACCAGAGGCCCATCTGTCACAACCACTAGGACTTGGCACCTTCAACTCTTTACCCCTTGCCAAGAATTTGAGGTCCTTAAGGGTTGACTGTGAGGGGCAGCTAGGGTGTAGGGGATGGGAGTGTTTCCTAGAGCAGGTCCTTAGGCAGTGGGGTCCTCCTCAAGCACCTTTTCTCCAGCTCAGCCCTTCACCTCCACACCTCCTCCCCCACCTCCCCAGTGCATGTCATCCCTTGGGGAACAGTGTACATCTGCTATTTAGCAAATAACAGCCCATCTGGGTGGGCAGTATTTTTACAGTGTACTAAAACATGTCACCTATTGTCTTCTCTGTTCCTTGCTGCAATCCTGTGAAATATTAAATCAATATAAATGTTTTGACAGAAGAAGAGACCAATGCTCAGAAAAAGCACTTCTTTAAAGCACTTTTGCCTTGGGTCACATGGTTAGTGCTTCTACTAAGGGGATGGGTAGTCCAGCAACTGCTGAGCTTCCACTGTGTTCCAGGCAGCGCTTGGCCCCTAGGTGCATTATGTCCTTCAAATCTCACAGCAGCCCCACACTATCAGCTTTCACAGATGAGAAACATGAGGTTCAGAGAGGTCAGGCAACATGCTCAAGCTTCCACAGTGACAGAGGGTTCTCAAATCTTCACTCCAAGTCTAGTGCTCATACCGCGGTGCTGGCGCAAGTGCCTGAACTGCACTGGACGGGGAAGGCACCTGAGGTGGCTTCTGGCAGCTCTGGAGAAGGTAGGGACAGGCTCTTGTCCAGGCCACATAGGAAACCATGGTGTGACTTGGGAAAGATGGAGGAGCCTCTCCCCCACAAGGCTCTGGGGGGGAGGTAGGGATGTGGAGAGGACAGAGGAAACTTCCTTGGGGCAAATTTGGATTCAGAGATCACCCTGAGGGGTGGGTGCAGGGGAAGTGTCTTTGAGAGAGGGAAAAAGAGAGGTCCCAGGTCTGAAAGGCTGAGAAGAGAAAGGAAGGAGGGAGACCAGGCGGGCCCTACTGGCCATGCCCAGCAGGCTCTGTTCTATTCCCTAGGCCACAAAGCAGCAGGTGGAACCCTTCACAAATACCTGGACCAATCAGGTGGCCTTTGTACCTGCCAGGGAAGTGGGCCAGATGCAGGATGGGGCTACATATCAGGGAGGGTATTAAATGAGCTTCTAGCTCATTTGCATGTCTTAATTAACCATAAAGTGAACCCCAGAAGGAGAGTGAAGCTGTCTGATTTCTCTGCTTATGTCCACTATCTCCTCACATACATGCTGCTTCCCTCTCCCTGCACCTTCCTGTATGGTTAGGGCCTAGGCATTCCCATTCACCTCTTCCCTCCACTTCAGAAAAATACAGCCTGTCACTGCTGTGGCAGGTGCCCAAAGGGAAGGGAAAATTAAGTCTCCATCGGACAGTCAACATGCCATTTATGATCCACGCAGGACCATGGATAATATGGGAGGACAGATTTTCTTGTTGTTCCTTTTGATTTGGCTTTGGAACAGATACAATTTGTGGGATTGTCTGAAAAGCACAAGATTGCGAGTCAGTTGGAACTGATTCAGTCCCAGTCCTACCACTATGGGACCCTGGACAAGTTGCTTAACTTCTTTGAGCCTGTCCAGGTAAAACAAGAGTAATAGCAACCACTTTCAGTGTGACACAAAGGTGAAGGTGCTGGCACCTGTCAATCATGTTGGCAGCAAGTGTTGCTTCCTAACTTTCTGTTCCGGCCCAAGTTGAAATAGTTTTTCAGTCCCCCGAGTCTCTTCTGGCTAAGCAATGGTTCAAAGTCTGCTTATTTTCCACTGGATCCCTTTGAGCAGGAGTTGGGTCCTTTTCATTGCTCTTAGTTTCTATCACAATGCCCGGTGTTGGGAGGTGTTCATAAAGTTTTGTTCAATTTATCTGAACCACCGAGACCAGTCCACAAAACAGGTGAGTTGTAGATGAATGTCCAAGAAGTACCTTGGCTTCCCGTAGACTCATTCCAGACTTGGAGCTGGCGTCATCTTGAATAATTTGCTGGATGGCTTCTCCACCAGCCAGCAGCCCACGACTTCCTCCTCTCATGATTCAGTAGGTGGAATCTTCACATGCACTTTCTGTGCGCATGCGCACGCACACGCACACACACACACACACACACACACACACCACCACCACCACCACCACCTCCAAACGCAGCCATAGCCAACGTTCCCTCACTCAAGACGGAAATGTTAGAATTCTCTGGCAAGACATCAAAGATTTGCAAGGGCTGGTTCCACCAGAGTGGGCTTGCTTAGCTGGCAAACTCCAGGTAGAGAGGTAGCAAGGAAAGGACAGGTTTTGGAGCCTGATAACCCAGCCTTCTATCTGAATGTCTGTCCTTTCCTTTGCTAGCAGTCTAATCTGGGCAGTTTACATGAGCCCTAATAACCTCCACAGATGTGTCTGGAGAACAGTGCCTTCTAGGGTGATTCTCTCTACCTAACAAATAGCGAGTGCTCGACAAAACCCAAGCACGAGCACCTTTCTCCTGCCTGTAGCTTCCCCCACCGAAAACTAGACATCTACCATTTGACTGCACAGGATTTCAGGGTGACCTTAACCACGGCGGTGGCTGTGCTCCCACAACCCCAACTTGAGCTCTCTGCCCCTCTCTCCACTCCCCACAGGGGTCCAGGAAGCAAGCAGAAGAGCCTTTTCTTACTACTTTGTCTCTCCAACTCGCTATTAATGCTTTGAGGGGGGGAAGGCATTCTGCCTCTAATTGCAGCTGTCACGCCCGTCAAACTGAGGGACAATCGGTGGAAGGCAGAGAGGGGCAGTGGGAGGGTGTGCCCTCCTGGCTTGCTTGGCCCAAAAGGGTACCACATTGTCTTTTCCCAGCCAGTGGGTGTTCCCTGCTGGAGTGGGAGGGGCAGTGGCTTCCCAGGGCGGTCCTAGGTGGGGTTTGCATCCCTAGGCTGCCCTCCTGGGCTACGTGCCCATAGTGGCTTTAGAAAAGCCAGAGCTGAGCTGCTGCCTGGCCCTTCCCACCTTGTTCCAGTCGCCTCTAGGTGAGGAGGGAACAGGAGGCCTGGGGCTGCTGCGGCTAGTAGGGAGGAGGCCACGGAATGGAGCTAGGAATTTTAAAATCAAGTGGGTATTTCTTCTGGGTTCACCTTCGCCTCACTGGTGAATTGACTGTACTGACCCGGGTGGGAATTAAGTGCAGGAGACGGGTTGTGGGGTGGGGGTCTCTAAGAACTGTTGGGGAGGAGTGTTGGTAACTCAGCTTCTACTCTGCAGTCAGGCCTGGGCTGTTCTGCCGCCTGCCTTGGTTGTTCCTGGACAGGTAGCATACCTAGGCTTGTGTCCTTATCTGGAAAATGGGATCGTGCCTACCTAGCTCAAATGAGACCATGGAGATGAAAAGGCATTCAAACGGCCCAATGCCATGTCAACATTCTTCCTCCTCTGTGAGTGGGGGAGATGCCAGGAGTGTCTGGGGCTTCCCCAGCTGTTCCTTACACACTGTAATCCTTATTCAGCTCATTTTCCCAGGGCCCAGGTATGCACTGAAACCTCCAAGGCAGGAAGGACTGGCAGGTGGGGTTTTGCCTCACTGCTGCTCTAGTCCCAGGAGGCCTGGCATTCAGTCCCTGTGCCTGGAGCAATGTCTTGCCAAAGAAGCTGAAGGCTGGGGGAGCCACAGACAGGTCTTTATTTGGGGGCCTCTCTGGGATACCTGATGCTCTAGGGCTCTTTTCCATATAGAATGTTCAGTGGAGGTCTTTGGGGCCAGTGGAGGAGATGTCAGAGAGATTTCCTGGTCTCCTCCCCTGCTCTCACCTACTGTCACCTTAAGCCCCAAAGTGAGTGTGTACACACAACAGAGACACACACACACACACACACACACACACACACACACACACACAGCTAGCTCTCCAGCTACTCTTACCTCCTTCACCAGCCAGCCCCTGCGACAGCCTCTCTCCCAACACATTCCCTTCAGCCCTGAGCCAAGAACTCTGGCTTCTTCCTCCTTTCCTGGGGAAAGGAACCTGGAGTTGGGCTTTTGAGAGCCATACCGCCCTCCCTCCCTCCTCCCCAGGGGCCCAGCACTGCGACCTGGCCCTTTCAGGTTCAGTCAACTTTCTGCCTCTAGGATTCAGACCCAAACAGCTGTGTTAATATCAAAGCCTGAGGGGGAGGGCTCCAGGGTCTTGGGGCCGCCTGTGGGGAGATTCTCCCCGCGCCTGTGCTCCGCGGTGCCTGGGAAGGGGAAATGTCCAGAGCCCTTGGAATGGCTCCGCTTCTTGACCTTCTGGGAGCGGCCGGTTCGGGGCTCAGGGACCACGGGTGTCACCCAGCCTGGTTTCTCCTTCAGCAGCCGGTCACGGTCAGGCCGCACACTACGCAAGAACTTCTTAAAGATGTTTGCTGTCAGGGCAAACCTGCGGCCTAGCTCCTGGGGCTGACCTTTCTCTCCTTTGGGTTCACGTGCCCGCCCAGTCTCACCCTTCTCCCCACTTTTCTCCAGTTCTGGCAAGTCTAGCCAGTTGCCCACCAGGTCTGCAAAAACGTTGTCCCCTAACACCAGAGGCTGCCGATTCCGGCCCCGGGACATCAACGTGGAGGTCCAGTCATCTGGTTCCACTAGCTCTGACCCCTGCTGAACATAGCTTTGATGCGGCTGTGTCCTGGGAAGGGGGGCTAAATCCCTCCCACAGACACTCCTATGGGATGGAAACTTGGTGCTGCTGCCAAGAGAAGGTTGACTGGCGGGGGAGCAGACTGTGGGCCTGGCAGAACCTCTGCCACCCTCCCAACAAGGGCGCTCGAGCTGGGTCCCGGGACCTTCAGGGCTGCCTGGTGCAGGACCCCCTCCAGAGATCTCCAGCTGTTCCAGTGCTGTCTGCACCTGGAGGAGCTTCAGTTCTTGCAGTGCACCCATCATGCAGTTCATCTGATCCTGTAAGCCATCACCCACCTCCTTCATGGACATCTGCAGGGGAGAGAGAAAGCATGGGGCCTATGAGCCACGGCGGGCAGCAGTGCCTCTCACAGCCCTGAACCCAGGTCCCCCACCCAAACTCTGACACACTTCCAGGGTCATCCAACCTCTCCTCACCTCTCTATAGCCTAGAGCAGTGCAGACCAGTACTGGATTAAGGAAATAATAATAATAATGGTAGCTAACTAGCTAAGGCAGGCACTGTCCTAAGAAGGCTCTCCCCACCCCATATATATATATATATTTCATCTCCCCAACTACCCTATGAGGTAGTGACTATTATTGTTATTATTGTTCCCATTTTACAGGTAACTTGCCCAAGGTAAGATCGTAAGAGGTGGGGCTGAGATCAGCTAGAAGTGCACAAGGTTGTAGTGACCATCCTCATCCTTTTTTGAGTCTGAGCCCTTTTCCTCCCTGGGCCTCCCTGAAATGATGATAGTGATGATAGTGGAAAAAACAATTTGTGAGAAACTGCCATGTAACAGGAATTGTGTAAAGATTCTATGTGCTTCATCTCATTTAATTTTTATACAGACCCTGTTAGGTTGATATTTTCTCATTTTAACCAATGAGTAACCTGGAAGGGATGAAGTAACTTACGTAAGGTCACACAGCTCATAGAGCTGGAACTCAAATACGGTATTGTCTCACTCCAGATGCTACAGTCCTAACTACCAAACACAGGTTGAGCATCCCTACCCCAAAAATCTGAAAGCCAAAATGCTCGAAAATCCAAACCTTTTTGGGCCACAACATGACCTAAAGTGGAAAATTCTGCCCTGATCTCATGTGACAAGTGGTAGCCAAAACACAGTCAAAATTCTTTCATGCACAAAATTATTAAAAATATTGTATGGGCCAGGCGCGGTGGCTCAAGCCTGTAATCCCAGCACTTTGGGAGGCCGAGGCGGGTAGATCACAAGGTCAACAGATCGAGACCATCCTGGTCAACATGGTGAAACCCCGTCTCTACTAAAAATACAAAAAATTAGCTGGGCATGGTGGCGCGTGCCTGTAATCCCAACTACTGGGGAGGCTGAGGCAGGAGAATTGCCTGAACCCAGGAGGCGGAGGTTGCCGTGAGCCGAGATCGCGCCTTTGCACTCCAGCCTGGGTAACAAGAGTGAAACTCCGTCTCAAAAAAAAAAAAAAAAAAAAAAATTGTATGAAATTACCCTGCGTTTTGTGTCTAAGATGTATACGAAACATAAATTTCATGTTTAGATTTGGGTTCCATCTTTAAGATATCTTGTTATACATCCCTAAGATGTCTTATAATATATATGCAAATACTCCAAAATACAAAATCCAAAACACTTCTGGCCCCAAGCATTTCAGATAAGGAATGCCCAAACCTGTACTACCTCGAGACTACAGATGGCCGGGCAGTGGAGCTAGGCATTTTTTTTCCTTTCTTTCTTGTTTTTTTTTTTTTTTTTTTTTTTTTAGAGACAGGGTCTTGCTATGTTTGTTGGGCTGGAGCACGGTGGCTATTCTCAGACACAGTCAGAGTGGACAGCAGCCTCTAACTCCTGGCCTCAAGTAGTCCTCTGGCCTCAGCCTCCTGAGTAGCTGGGACCACAGGTGTGTGCTACCTGCACCCACAGGTGGACTTTAAGGCTACTCTGTCCTCTACAGGACAGTGAGGAAGGGCTGAAAAGGGCATTAGGGGATAAGGAAGAGCTCAGATTCCCCAACAGAAAGGGTAGGCCTGGGGTTTCCTGTAATTGCTGTTCACATCTGACTGGTCAGGAGGGAGACAAGGAGGCCAGGAAACTCCTGTTTGCTGAAAACCCAGCACTTCCCAGTCTGCTTCTCCCTCCCAAACACCTGTCCTCTCTCAGCTGTTCTCAGACTTGGCTTCAACACTCTTCCTGCCTTCTCAGCCCAGTTGGCTCTGCTGCCCTGGCCAAGCCAGAGTGGGATGCTGGGGGCCAGTTCTCCCAGCCCCTTTGTGGGTGTCTAAGGCCTGAGTCCTGGCTGCCAGCTGGAAGGGGCTAAGAGAGTGACTTGGGTGAGGGCCGAATTTGGAGGCTGGGGAGCGGGGGCTGTGTCTGATAACATTCATGAGGTTCCCAGTTCCTGGGCCCAAGCTGCCTTGGTTCTGCCAGCTCCCTCCCCAGCTCCTGATCAAGTTACCAACAGCAAACCTCATGTGTGGAGACCATCTGTTTCTTAAGCCCCCCAGAGACCCGTGGGATCATCTTACCTCCCTGGATTGTCTTAATGCACAGAGCTAAGCCCAGAAGGTGGAGGTATCGGAAGGGCGGGCACAGAGGCTCTGTAGGGCTGGGCTGCAGCTGACCTTCCCAGGCCCCGGGTCAAATCCTCCCCTGCCAACCCTGGCCCTGGCAGGGATGGGAGATTCCAGCCAGGCTCTCAATGAGCCAGCAGAAGCAGCACTACAGGACAGTGGAGGACTGACTGCCCTTGAGGGCAAGGAGGCCTTTGCTGGGGCTTGGAGATTGCCCATGCTTTCTGCAATTTCCCTAGGACAGGCGAGAAGACATGGTGGTTCCAGGCCCCGGCAGCCCTGGGATTTGCCAGTTTCCATCATTTGAGTAGTGGCAGCAGCAGCAGCAGCCAAGGACACAGAGTCTGTGGGAGGCTGTGCATGTTGTTGACAGCCCCTCTCTCTGGCCTCTTTGCTTCTACTCTGCTGACCCCTTTCTTTTGGAAGCACTCAGCTACAGCTGATAAGACCTAGAGCAGAGTCAGAGGAGACTCTAAGCCCCAAAGCAAACTCAGTTCCTTCCCTGCAAACTGCTTCTCCCTCTGATTTCCCTATTCTCCCCTTTCCTTGTCTTCCCTACCTGGAGCCTCAGTCATTTTTGGCTTCTCCATTCAATTACCCCTGCTCCTGTCCAAGGTACTCATGTTGGATTTTTCCTCCCGCAAATGTTGCTTCTCTTTCCTTCCTTCCTTCCTCAGGAATGCTACAGAAGCCTCCTAGAAAGCTTCCGAGCCACCCGGCACATGAGCACCTGATCAGTCTCTCCAATGCCCAGACTCAAATCCAAACTATTTGGTCTTGCAGTCACGACCCTCCAGGACAGAATTCCAGCTTTCAGTTCCAGGCACTTCCCTACTCCCTGAGACGTACCCCACACGCTCCTGTTAGAAATCTTCTGTGATATTCAATATGCTCTTCCCTGTAGTCCTGCCACTTGCACACTCACCCCCTGTCCTCTATGCCTTTAAATGCTCAGTTACTTGTGAAATATGTACTAAGTATCCCTTGAGGACAGGAGCTGAGATCTATGCATCAGTATGTCACCCCAGAACCTCGCTAGCACCTTGCACTTGCTACATACCCGTAAGACATATATTGAATGCCACTGACCAGATCACCCCTTCAGACAGTAATTCCCTATACAGAGAGAAAGGGCCAGAGCTGCTTCCCAAGGGTTCATTTCACCCAGAGGCAAGGAGTCCGAACTAGCAGGCTTCCTTCCAGAAAGCTAAACACAGCCCAGGTCGGAGGCAGTGGGAGGAATGAAATGACCCCATTCAATCTCTTCCAGTGTGGAAAAATCCAGAAGAAATAATGCTGACATTTTGCACAGTTTGCCAGTGAGAATTAATGTGTGGGTATGCATGAATTCAAGCTGCCCGTAAAACAGAGGCCCTATGTAAGTAAGCAAGTGCTGAAACGGCACCCATGTGCAAAATAATAGTCTGTACTGGTTAAGAACTTGGGTTCTGGAGACAATAGAACAGAGTTCAAATCTCAGCTCTGCCATGTTGGCTGTGTGACCTGGGCAAGTTATTGACATTCTGTTTTTCTTTTTTTTTTTGAGACGGAGTTTCGCTCTTGTTACCCAGGCTGGAGTGCAATGGCGCGATCTTGGCTCACCGCAACCTCTGCCTCCTGGGTTCAGGCAATTCTCCTGCCTCAGCCTCCTGAGTAGCTGGGATTACAGGCACGCGCCACCATGCCCAGCTTATTTATTGTATTTTTAGTAGAGACGGAGTTTCACCATGTCGACCAGGATGGTCTCAATCTCTTGACCTCGTGATCCACCCGCCTCGGCCTCCCAAAGTGCTGGGATTACAGGCTGGAGCCACCACGCCAGGCTACATTCTGTTTTTCAATTTCTCCATTCTTTTTATATTTTTGTTTTTTTGAGACAGAGTCTCACTCTGTTGCCCAGGCTGGAGTGCAGTGGCGCAATCTCAGCTCACTGCAACCTCCACCTCCCAGGTTCAAGCAATCCTCCCACCTCAGCCTCCCAAGTAGCTGGGACTACAGGCACAGGCCAGCATGCCCAGCTAACATTTTTGTATTTTTTTTGTGGAGACGGGGTTTCACCATGTTGCCTAGGCTGGTCTCGAACTCCTGGGCTCAAGCCATCCTCCCACGTCAGCCTCCCAAAGTGCTGGGATAACAGGCATAAGCCACTGCACCCAGCCAAATTTCTCCATCCTTTAAAATGGGAATAACAGTTTCGGCCTCATACGGCCATTGTGCAGATCAGGTCAGGTAATGTGTATCTGCATGGCACCAAGAAAGCATTAGGTGAATTCCCATGTACTTCCACAACATTTCGTCCTTGGTGAAACTTAGCACATAGTAATGACAGGATTCCAGCATATTCCTTAAAGCTGGTCTAATCAAGGAGAAGCACAAGGAGAAGGTCCCGATTTTTTCTCTTGGCAGCCCCCTGCCCACTCTCCAGCCGTGCTCAGTCAGCCCAGCCGTATCCAGGGTGCCAACACTGAAAGGTGAGAAGGCAGCTGGGAGAGGGATGAGAAGGGAAGGAGGAGTTGTGGGGACCTCAGAGGGCCAACGCAGTGGGGAGCCAGGAGCGTCAGCTGGGGCTTGACTAAGAGAGGAGCCAGCAGAACAGCCTTTCCTGACTGACCCCAGGGGATGCCATCGCCCAAGGAGAAAGAGTTGGAGGCCAAGGTTGGGATCTGCCCTCTTCTTCCAGAGCTTGGGATCCTCTCAGGTCCCTGGGCTTCCCTTGCCTCAGGACCAAATAGGG